TGTGTAGGGCTGGCGATCCATCATTGCCACAACAAGTAGATACGATTATCACTAATTGTCGAGAAGTTCCAATTTTGAAAAGTTAAGTATCGTAATTATACGCGATGGGAATTATATTTTTGAATTTAGAACGTGTTAGTTGTAATGTTACAGTTTGTTTATACTAAAATTGTAAACCCTAACAAAGGATCTATGCGCTACATAGGCCGCCAGCTCTGATTGTGTGTACAGGCACTGTGCTAACCACTTAGACTTTGAACTACGTAAATTTTGTATGTGTAAACAAGGCGACCCTCTCGAAAAAAATATGTATATATTGAATTACATTTAAGTAATTATTAAAGATGATTTAAAATATTACGTAAATGTGAAAGTGTTTTTGTGAGTCGCCCAATTTGTAGCTTTTTAGTATAGATTTGGTTAAAAGGGTTTGGTAAATAATGTCTGTACACATTAAAATAAAACACTTTAAGAAACCGTTGAAGTAAAGTAGAGCGCGATATATATTCGATAATTTTACTAAAACAATATTTTAACTACGGCCCGATGTTTCAGATGCTTGCGGTCACGGGGGGACTAAAGATGGAGGGTGTCTCTGATGAAGTAAGAACTAAGCTATCTATTCCGTCGTTTGCCTAAATACTAACTACGCCGTGTTTGGTAAATAAAACATTTTTGACGGTTTCAAACGTGAAATAAGTTAAACTTATCTGACTTAATATAACGTTTTAGACGAAACTTATAAGATAACAAATCTGTTTAGTCTATCTTCAAAGCGTTCGTGGTTGCAATATTAATGTAGCCCAGTTGCAGTGCTGTACACAATACAACCAGCTCAGAATATCTGCAAACGAGTTCTGATAGAAATTCACTCAATGCATTTGATAATATTAATAATAATTTGAAACCTTTGCTCTGATACTCATAAAGCAGAAACAGATAGTTAAACAGTCTCGTAACGGAAGTAAAATATATCTATACTAATTTTCGAATGAAAATATTATTTTTGTGTTATATAGACATGATTTTAAAGTTGAATTTCAATAAAACAGTTTAAAACGCGAAATATAATAGTTGAATTATTTTTAATTTTAAATAATTAAAAAAAAGGTACCTCATATATATTTCGCTTTTTAAACCGTTAAAACAAATATACATGTATGAATTAGAATTTTGTGAGCGCTTTCTCTTAAAATCTTAAAGTCTTAAGAAACATACTTGTCTTACATTAAGCAAATACAGTATGTCACCCAGTTTGTTTCTCATCACGTACAGGCCTGTGGTTCAGATTACCAGTGTTTTCCCACTCCACGTATTGCTATGTAAAACGACTCATTACACTCTGCAGTCACCTCACGTAAAGATTTACGATTATTTTGAAACCGACTGAATCCGGGTGTATGACAAAATTCAATAGAAATCTAATAGGGCCTTATGAATCGTAACATTTGGAAACAGCTGGAGGGAAAATCCAGAACCAGGGTTTATGTGCATCGCAACATCTTCTACTATAAATCTAGTTAAAAAAGTTAGACAATTTTAGTGTAGGACCTACATTTGTAATCAACCTTTTTAATTACTCCTACTTCGTCGTTTTAGAAGATTAAGTAAATCTGTTTTTCACTTCTTTCTAAAGAGGTGTGCGAATGAAGATTATTGATTACTGCTTACAAACTCAAGACAATTTCAAGGGTGGATCCACCGATGTGGGCAAGATGGGCATGCCCACATCCTTTAATAGACTTGTGACGTCACATTTTTACGGTTAATTGAGACCGCTAGGCTAATGATAATATACGATATGCCTTAATAACATTTAAAAAACAATGAATCATGTAACGCAGCAAAGAGCCATAGACGATAAGCTGACATGTGACTATGACTTATATCACATTTTTGACAACTTATTGCCGTGCTGCCAAAATTTCCGAGCCGCGTAGCGAAGCATGTACCTACTTTTGAATACACTACATCTCACTTGCTGATCTCCCTTGCATTACTCCTGATACAACGTCAAGATACCTATTTAGTTATCTTGACGATTACCTATTTACCAGTCTAGTGTCTCTATATTGGCTTACTGGCTACTAGACAAAAAAAACAAAAACATGTAAGTTATTGATTGTAATAGGTTTGGATGGAAAATGACTATTTAATTTGAAGATCGGGTCCGAATTCCTCCTGAGTTTCTTTCCATTCCTAAGGCCAAAGTCCTGATGCTCAGTAAAAAGGAAATAATCTAATTCAAAAATTCATAAACGACTTGTATGATTTTTATTAAGCATGTTCATGCTTCGACTTGTACTTAGCCGATTTTCTAGTAGCTGTGAGCTTTTTTAAGGGTTGGATCCGCGCTTGGACAATTTATAAGAGATTCACTTGATGGAAGGTATAATGTCCCAGCTCTATTACTTTTATCTTTACTAGATGCACCATCGACCTAGTTTGTCTGGTCATTGGTAAAAAAAATCGACGATGACGTTTAGGAGTCGGTAGCTCAATTTGTTAGAGCAACAGGACGGAACGCCGAGTATGCCGGATCAAGTCCTGGCTAAGTCGTAATTAATTTCAATTTATAATTGATTTTTCATTTATTTAGGTACCTAACACCTGTAAATGATGGTACATGATTTGGACAGAATTTCTATATTTATACTACCTATTAATTATTTTACATATATGAAAAAAACGATTGAAAATTTTGACTACAAGGGAAGGAACTTGAGCCAGCATTTTTGAACCAGCATTCATACCGTCTAATAGTAATATAATCTAATCAGTCGTAACACTTACTTAATGTAATATTACATTAAGCCTCAATACGTAAGTGCATATGCATTTTTTAGTCTAAATTGATTTTATAAAATGCATGCATGTGCAGTAACTTATGAAAAAGAATAAAATTTCTGTATATTCCAGACGTTTAATAGTTCGTTACGACATAAAAAAATAAACAATGATTTTCAGTTACACCTTGGACTCGGTGAGAATCGAACTCACGACCAGTACACTGGTATCGTTGAACCAACAAGCGGTTCAAAAAATGTATGTGTATAAACAGGATTTGTGAGACGTCGTTAACTTTTTTATGACATCCATATAAATGTTTTGCCGTCTGCGTTCTTCTCATCATTCTAATAAGACAAGTGTAAAACTACTTTTTCGGCAAAATTACAAAGACTGTTTGCGGCATAAATTATACTGGAATTGCTTTGGAAATCGTAAAATAAGGATTTTAAGAGATAACTCACGTTACTAATAAAAACTTAATACGAAATGTCAGCGTTTAATTATTATATATTCATATAGCTATGTCAGCGACTTCGTCCGCGTAGAATAGTCATTTTGGGTATCTAAATTTACTTCTGCAAACCTCTACATCTTAATAAATATAAGCTGCCCACGACATCGGTCGCGACCCGTCGTTCTTGCAAGTTTATCATAAAAGATAGACGTATAATGTTGCAAATTTTTTTTAAATCATATAAAGAGAAATCATTCTTGCATATGTTTCTGGGTGTCTTGAGCTGTTTACGCAGCGTATGCATCTGAAACCCACAGAGATGAAAATTTTCCCCCATATTTCCCGGTGTATCTTCGCTTTTATTAGTTACAGCGCAATGTTTTATCGCCTATAGCCTTCCTCGATAAATGCTCTATCAATCACAAAAATATTTTTTCTTTTCGAACGCGTACTTCCTGAGATTAGCGTGTTCACAAACGAACAAACAAACAAACTCTTCAGCTTCATATATTAGTATAGATTTATTTCGAAATAAAACAACGTAGTAGTATATTTATTATATTGTATTGGATAAAATAAAAAAGTTTACTTTTTAATTAAAACATGAGCAAACAGACAATTCTATTTAATATTGCATATAATACCATTTTGAAAGCAGCAATGATTTTTTACATGTAACAAATATGAAGGCTTTGAAATACATAACATGTCTGTAGTTTTCGCGAGTAAACATTTAAATAAAACACTTTAACATCTAAAAACGCGATATATATTAAGTAACCTTATTTGAAAATTATTTAACTACGGCCCGACGTTTCGGATGCTTTGCAGCAGCCGTGGTCACGGAGAGATTATCTCTCGTAAGTAGAACTAATCATAAGTTCAACTATTATATATCGCGTTTTATACTGTTAAAGTATTTTATTTAAATACACAACGTGTCACTCATTGATGAATCTTATTATTTTTGCATATCTTTAACGAATGTATAAATACGAACACAAAAGTTTGTCTGTTTGCTCATCAACACTACAATTATTTTATAAAAGTAATTAAACCAACGATAATATATACATCTGTGCTTACTTGTCTTCAAATAAAAGGTATACATAAAATATTTATATCAAAACTAATACTTTCTCGAAATAATCTTATTGTTAATTACGTATAGAAATTACGATATCAATCATCACAAACTAGCCTACACCTAACATTGCCTTCTTATGAAAATACTTAAACACTAAATAATAAATAACACAATCATAATTCCAGTCGCAACTTAGTATTTAACTAACCTAAACGTACAAATATAACATGGATCATTATAACTTTCATATCAGGATAAAATAATTTTGAAATCAATTCTGTTGTACAAATAAACGAACAAACAAAATAAGTGAAACATATTTAATAAATGGGCCACACGTTTTATGATTTGATAGAAAATGGTTACTTGACAATAAATCATTTGTGTCATATTGCTTGAATTCTAATTTTGATTTCTACAACAGAATCGTTAAATGGATATATTTTATTACAATAATTAATCATAACTAATTACATAAAATTTGGACGAAATCAAAACACTGCACAAACAAACCACATGAGATCTTTACGAAAACCCAAATCACTTTTCAAATACATACAACAGTAATCTAACCATTTGATTAACTCAAACTAATAATACTTTTATCGTGATCGAACTCTACTCCTAGATTAATTAAAATTTTAATTACGTTTAATGACGACGAAAATGTTAACGTCGCATAATATCTTCTATACTAAAACCTTTCTTGGGTCGGCTTGATTGGCTTGTTCCTGGTTTCGGGTTGGTGTTAGGCTGGATGCCAACAATATTCTTTATTCCGTTAGCTATTGAGCTAGACCCCAAATCATCTGTGACTCTTGAACTATGCGCGCCATCAATACAGCTAGATACGTTTGTTGTAGTGCTAGGAGCGGTATCTTTAGGAGCCGTTGGTTTCACTATAAGATCCTGAGCCACTGTCTGCTGTGGCCCTAAAATTGTATGTGGTATAGAACCGTAAGCTACTTGAGGGTGTGGCGGGGGCAAAGGTATGCCATACTTGTGATAAGACGGCATACCCAACATCGGTGGCGGTATACCTACAACTACATCATTGTTGCCAACTTGTTGTCGAGGCATAGATAAGTTCGTAGGTTCAGGCGACCGACTTCGATAAATTTGGGCACAGGTTCTCATGTTCTCACCGATATCGGGCGGGTGACTTCGTTTTCTAAACGGGCTGATAAACATTCCAGAAGGCCCCGGATCTATAGGTGGGCTAGACAGCTGTCCTATCTTAGACGGATCGGGGGGGTTCACTTGGTGTAGATCTCTTCTAATTTGGAGCTGCGGGTGTCTGATTGGTGGTTCTTGAATATCGTTATATCGCATTTCTTTTTCTATAATTTCTTCGGAAGTGTATCTCCGCTTCTCGAACATATCAGTAGATGACATACGATGTTTATCCTGGTGTTGGGGTCTCATAGTATACGGGCTTGCTCTGTTAGTCTGTTCGTTGTGATGACAATGAGTTCTTTCGACACTATGTGGTGGCGGTGAGTTGCGTCTAGGTCGTTCTTCACTCTGTTCTCTACCGATGCTCTCCACCGATGATGATCTCGTTCGGCGAACTGGGGAGTGCTCTGGAGACGATAGTTCCGGGTCTTCATCGTCGAACCCGGGCTCAATGGGTGAACCGGGTCTACCGATGTCTTCTTCACCTACATCGAGCACGTCTCCCGGAGGGACGTCACCCACAGCGTGGGTTAGAGCGTGACGACGCAAATCGCAATTTCTTCTGAACACTTTTCCACATGAGTTGCATTCGTACGGCTTGTGGTCTGTATGAGTCAGCAGATGAGTCTTGAGATTCGACCTTTGATTAAAACTGCGACTGCAAACGGGACATTTATGTGGAGACTCTTCCATATGCAGAATCTTGTGTACGGCCAAAGTTCTCGACTGGCAAAAGCCTTTTCCGCATTCTGTGCATTTAAAAGGCTTCTCCTTTGAATGTATATATCTGTAAAGAAAAGTAATAAGTTTAAATTTGGTGCTTATTAGTGGCAATAATGATTAACGATAATAATTATACTTTATATTAACTATCTAATGGTTATGGCAATAAAACTTCACGAGTTAATTAAAAGTCTGGTGATGGGTGGAGTAACATGCTTGAGCTTAACTAACCAAGATTTTATATCTGTTAAGACCACGGTTTACCGCTGCAAAATATTTCTATTGCTTAGAAAAATATTGTACAGGTACCGCCTGTAATTGTATTCGTAATTGCTTAACACCTAAAGTAACAAATTATTAGACAGGTGTCAATTAATATCAAATGTAAATGATACCGATATCACACAATATTAGCAAGTGCGACGTCATATATTAACTTCAGTGACCACTATTCTGCGCAAGCACACCTTGAACGTGATCCGAGTAATTTGAGACTCAAGGCAAGTCCGACGATGTATAGCTAGTGTTCGATCGACCACTCTGGTTTGAACTCTCCGAAGCTCACTGGATCTTTAATTAGCACGAAAAAGACGTTGAAAGCCGGGTCTTCTTTAAGTGGTTGTGATTCTAAGTTCCAGTTCGCCCGAATCGAATTACGTTAAAAGCATTTTGTAGCCGATCGCTTCGATTAATATTGAGGTGCCCGTGTATCGGCGTGTAGATTAAAATAAACTTTATGTTCTTGCAAAATAAATTATAGGCCATTGGATTAATTAGAAGTCATAATTCTTGAATTATTTGCATCAGAACTTTCTGTAGATCTGTGCGTGTCTTGTAGAGCTTAAGCGAAAAGTTAATACTGTTAAAAAATGCTTTGAGAAAATGATAATTCGGCAAAAATAATTATAAACTTCACACACTAAGAAGCCTCTGATTTGAAATCTGAAACCTTAAATACAAGTTTCGTTACTTAGCGATCCAGCGACATTATCGGAACCATTTAGTTTTATGTCGGCGACGGCTTACCAAATTGTATTTTAATGCGGGCTTAATTATTGAAATTATTTTTAAAATTTTCGAGAATGCAATAAAAACACCCGAGGTCGCCAAACACTAATGGTAATGAGTCTAAAAATTCTTGCATCCAAAGAATGCACCGTGTAAATAATACGTATAATATAATTTGGTACGGAAGATAAATAAAAGAGACCTGATGATCTCAAGTTACCGGTATTTAACTAGAGTTGACGTCTTTTCCTTCATTAATTTCGGCCTCTGTTATTCAGAGAAGTGTTTTGTTTAAAATGCCAAGTGTCTCATTGTTCTACTCACTAAGAATTTGAATTTCGAATGTCGAAAGTTTGCCTTTTTCTTCCTCCTTCCTTAGCTTTGCTTAGACTATGGGATTAGGAATTGTCATCCCCGTGTCTTGAAAAGAGAGATTTTAGCAGTTTTATTAATAAAGCATCAATGTTTGTCCTTTTTTCGTAAGCCTCATTTATAGTCTAGACCGGTGATTCCCAAAGTGGTCCTGGTGGACCACTGGGGGTCACGCGGGAGACCTTCCTTATGTAAATAGATCTAATCTTCACTATTTTTCGAGATAACGAAAATCTATAGTGATTTAGCTGCAAAGGGTCTACCGGATCCAGCAAAATTTAGAAAGTTATTATTGAAATAAAAGAGTTTGGGAAGCACTAGACAAAAAATGAGGAGGACATATCTTCACCGATCGTCCTCATTACTTTTTAATCTGACCACGATATATTGCGATCCGTTATTTCTCGTTTGACTATTTGAATGAAGTAATGGAGTTAAAAAGCACTATTCGTTTCGCGGATCACGTGAATTCACATGAGTCAAATGACTGGTTTGTATCCAGAAACCGGAGATTTCAATTTGAACGGTTTTAAGTCTCACGCTCAAGTGCCTATTAATATGGAGATTAACGTATGCTATTCCTCTCATATTTAGTATTGACGTGAACCGACTGTGATAAAGTTAGTTATTATGTTATTAGTTTTAATAGCTTGCTCAGATAGCGTGCTGTATGGGTACAGTAATATGATCTATCTTCAGATATCTTTAGGGACTTCGATAAACATCCAGAAATATAGTTATCTAGGTTTTTCTTTAATACATTATTGTTATAATTACTAATATTTGTATTTATATGTGCTCAATGTTTTCAATGCTAGAGTTAAAAATGTAGCTTAGCTTTGCCGAGTAAAACACGATGAAATCTAAAAAATTATACCTCCAATTACTATTAAATTTAATACTGACGAAACTATCCAATTAAATAAGAAAACAGAAATAAAAGTCTTCGATACTTTCAATAAATTAGTAATATCTAATGAACGCGATATCTTAATTCGGAAACGAAGAGAGAAGTGTATGAACGTGAGATTACGGATACTACCAGTCAGACGAGTTGGTAACATCAAAGCGACCGCCACATTTATATTAACAGGGCAATTACCAACTTACTTTGAAAACGTTAGACAATCATTCTCGCAACGTAAACATCACATCCTGTCACAAATAGAAAGAGTACTGATTTACATAATGTCTAAATCTATACATATAATTATGATGCATTGTCTTTAAACACAGTCTGTCGGGTCAGATTAAATCTCTGATCGTAGTGATCTAAACCTTAAAAGCTTTTACATTGAGTAGAAGTTATATTACGATTTACCGTCTCTAAGAGGTTTTATAAGTCAGCGTGATCTGTGTCGAATATATTAAATTGAAGACATGTTTGTTAAAATTAATTTTAACGGGTTTAAAAAAGCTATTAGTGTATCAGATATTAAAAGATATCTAAACAAGAGTCGCCGTTGACGAATTCGCGATTGAGACGCGACTAGCGACCGCAGCGTCGGGCGATGCAAACGATGAACAAAACAAAATTACGCGTATAGTCGCGCCGCCGTTCGCATCTAGGCAACACAGCGGGTCACTTATCGTCACAAATAAACCAGAAATAGTAATTAACATAATATCTAAATTAAAGTATGGATTATGAATAATGCATAATGATGAATGAATAAACAAATCCTTGGTCCTATCAGTTCGATCAAAGACATTATGAAATATAAGTAACGTCTGTCTCTTAATATTATACTTGACGATAAGGATCGCGATGGAAAGTCATTCAGAAACCCATCAAGACGCGGCGAGGAGATTAAAAAAAGGCTTAAAATTACACTCGACTCGTTCCGTGCTAATGGCCTGTATTAAAAATGATTTCCATTATCGAATACGTACGGTACAGGTTCAAAATTGTACCTATTCTTGCAAAATTTAACTCAACAAGCGGACAGTTATTTAATAGATCTACATTTTTAGACATTAAATTAATGCTAAGGAGTGAAATTTTATTAATGATTACCTACATAACACATGGAAATATTTAAATAAAATACGTTTAACAGTTTAAAATGCGAAATATATAAGTTAAGTTATTAACAATTTAACGATTTGGATACTTTGCAGCAGCAGTGGTGTGTGGCCGTAGTTAGAGAATTACGTAGAAGTTTTAATCTGTTAATAAGTGTTTTATTTTCATGTGTACTACTCGCGTAAACAACAGACAATAAAAATGTTATTAGCGGGCATATAGACATATTTTGGTAATTGTAAAAGCATTGTTCCAAAGGTTTGGGTCATTTGAAGCTGAATGATCTAAAAAATATTCAAGTACACTCATTGAGAGTTGGCGTTACTTGGAAACGAGTTTCGCAGCGTCCTCGTTTCATTGCAAACAATTTTGACAGCACGGCAAACACCAGCTCTTTTAAGACCAACTGTTTTTATTTTAGATTTGTATTTAAACTCGAGTTTTATAAACTCAAACTCATTAGTCCTCTATATGTTTTACTTATTAACTTTAACTAATATTTTATCAGTTTAAGTAATATAAATAAACAAGTTTTTAAATAAACGTTGCCGTGTATGTAATTAGTTTTTTTAGGAAGCAAAAAACTCGATTTGTCTATTTATTTGACTAATAAATAAATACATATATGTAGTTATATTGCCGTTAATCTTAATGATTAAAATATATTTCAATTGAATTATAAAACTCGAAATTAATATAATATAGGTAAATTATTTTTATGACAGAGGTTTAGAATGGAATTCGGAGTAGAAGTTTAATACATAACATATCAACAATGTGCGCTGTCAACCTATTTTGGCTTTGGACCTTTAGAAATCCACAGACTGCAACCGATTATACGTAAATCGGACGGTGGTTTGAGTCCATTTGATGTGATGGAATTTCGACATTCCTTTTACGCATTTATTATCCAGATTTCCAGACGAAGTCCAACAAGTTTCAGGAAGAAATATAAATCTTAGAAAGATCTTTAATTGGCCATTAGCTACTATTGGACCAACGAAGAGCAGTTTTAAATAAGAACAAAAAAAGTCTCAGAAAGTGTGACTTGTCGTATCCGGGTTAGAAATATTTTTTTCTAAATTCAATCGTGAATCTCAGATTGCCTATCGTAGTCTGATTGCTTATAGAGTTAAAAAGTTATAGACGTGACAATTTACTTAAAGTATAATTACGATAGCCAATTAAATTATATTTGAGGCGTAAAAGTGTATTTATATATTGACATATATTTTATCATTCTCTTCGTATTGACATAAATAGGTACTAGGACTCGTTGGAGTAATGGTAGCAAAGTATGGCTTATAATGAACGGGTCACGGTTAAATAAGTTCAACTAATATATATCGCGTTTCAAATCGTTAAAGTGTTTTACTCAAAAGCGAGTCATGGTTCTGTCCGTACCAGTTCCAACTATTATCTAATCTAGATATTAAATGAGCTGTAGAAATATCCTAAGTTCCGTCCGGATCAAAAACCATTGTCTACTTCCAAAGGTCCGAAGATAAAGTAGATCGATAGTCGATCTTATATGGCTGGGGTATTTCACCATGTCTGGTTGTTTTCTTCTATCATAAGAATGCACATAATCATTATTAAATTAAGTATTAGACAATTTAGTTAATTATTAGTAAGATTTTAAATGTATATTAAAAAAG